GTGCCATCCCGCCAAGACAAGACATCCCGCCAAGCATGGGATGGCGAATGGGATTAGGGATGGCATGCCATCACAGACATCCCGCCAAGGAGCAAGAAAATGGGATGGACGGGATGGCAGGACTGGAAGCAATGAGGATATAAGGATGGATGGATTTCATTATTACTCTCGTTGTGGTCAACTCAAATTGTACTTTCTTACTAGTATCTTTACTTAACAAGATTGTCACAAGTTAGTCTATCAAATAGATTAGTCTTGTCAAACCCTCCTTAAGCACGCCAACTCCACTGCATCGCCAGACAAGCCTCACGGAACACTAACGTAATACTCACCTGCCTTAGTGCGGACCAGGATAGAGAAGTATAGACCTATACCCCGTGTAACATAAACCGCCATCTTAAACGCTAAGAAATTGCCTATTCAACGATATATTTTTTATTAGTTTAGCGCTAATACCTATTATGCAATGGATGTTTAAAAATCACAACTTTTTGGAGTTCTTTTTTTTTGTCACCCCACTGTATTTTCGATGATACATCTTACCTAAGAATTATCCTTACTACCAAGAAGTGTTGTTTATCTAACAAGGCAACCTCAATTTTGATTGAACCCATTACTTGATATAACTACAGATGTCTTATAGAAAAACAGTGAAGCTAAAGTAAAGTTTAAGTATGTATCTATCATTTCTATTACAGTGACCTTGCAAAAGTCTGTTCGCGCAAGCTCGGGCCACCCCCATCAACGTGTTAACACCAAGAGCACCATCTTGTTCAACACCACTCAACTGCATCGAAATGAGGCCTTTTGGCTTAGAAATTTCGCGCAGTCGAATGCCAGGATATGAATTAAATAAAGCGCAACGCATTTATATATTGGCTTAAGCGGGGGGGTGGTTGTAGTACGGCTAAAATCGCTAACCGTCTTAGCTACTCGCAACGCGTTATCTAGAAAATTATATAGTAATAGGAAAACGAAGGCACCACTATAACGCATAATTAGATAGGCCATCTACCTAAAACAACTAGTATAGATAATTGCTAGCTGCTACGGGTTATAGAAAAAAGTCTAAAAATCGAATATAGCGCTCTCTATCGCGAGGTAAACCTATAGAATAGGCACCGCGACTAGCCTACCATTTTACGCGCGATAATCTAACAATTAATAGCTATATATTTGTATTATAAGTACTAAGCGGCCCGTCGACTATTTATTAGTAGTTCTATACTAAAAAAGCGTCGATAGTTTGCTCGGAGGTGGTATAATCTTAATTAGAGTAGGCCGACTATAATTAAGTTTAGTAATAAGTATAGTATCGCCCGCAGATCTAGCTATAATATCTAATAGGCATAGAGATTACCTATATAAAAATAGACGTATGAGACAATAGAGCTAGTCTCTACTTCTTATCAGTGTATCGGCGCAGGCAAGACTACTCGGATCAGTATCGGCGGTAGTGTCACTCAGAGGCATATGGGAGTGCGTGGGACATCAAACGAGCCTTGATTCGAATAGACACCTATAGGCCTTGTACGAAAGGGTATCAAAAGTCTAAAGAGCTAGCTACAGGGAGTGTCTCCTTATATACTTATCTTAGTCGGATCCAAATCGGATCCGACCTCGCAACCAGTATTGATAAAGAGGGCGGCGAATACTACCTCCGGTCCGGTTCTGGGATTGGTCCGATACTTGGTGAAGTTGTAACGTCGTTACAATTATAAAGTTTTTAGACGAGTATAGTATCGCCTGCAGATCTAGCTATAATACTACTTAGGTATAGAGATTACTAGGGCAAAAATAGTTGCATAAGATAATAGAAGCTATCCCTACTAGCTAGCAGCCTGCTCGCATAGTATAGGCTGCGATTTAGATAGGTCCTAATAGTGTTATAGGCCGTAGTCTACTCGTAATTATAGAACGGGATATAACATAACGCCGAGGTAGATATACAGCATAGAGCTACTTAATAGCACTTATAGAAGGGCTACTACCTAATTATAGAGCTAGTAAGCTATTTATATAGAATAACTTACCTATCTATACTACTTAAATCTCGCGGTAGTAGTTTAATATTTATAGGATATAGACGATTAACTAGCTACCGTATTCTCTAGATCTTAACCCTATTAAGCACCTTTAGTAGGCACTTAAAAAGAAACTCTATAAGCTTCACCCTAAGTTTGACTATATAGGCGACATAAATAGTGAGTAGGAGCAGTTTAGAAATGGGTTACGCGAGGTATAGTTAAGTATACCTAATTCTTTAATTACTAAGCTAATTATAAGTATACTACGCCGCCTTATATTAGTACGTAATGTAAGAGGGTACTAAGTAAAATATTAAGATTCTTAGCTATAATCTAGTTATTTCAAAATTATTTTTAGACGTTGTTTGGTAGAGTTACATAGTGTTGAAGTTTTAGGAAAAAGTGGTGATCGTGGCCCGAGCACTTAGCGGCACAGACTTTTGGAGTGCGACTGTATATCTTTACCTAGAGACGCACCTTAAGAGTGAAGCCGCAACCACTTTTGACTAGATACACCTCTCCAGGGACATTCCGCCGCCGTAGATAGTGTTCACATTGTTTGGCCGCATCAAGGAAGACCGAAGGACTATATAACTCAAATGCTATTGGCTAATTAAAAGAGATAGAAAACGTAGATGACGTTGTGTGGTTAAAATCGTATGATGGCCGCTTAAGGCGGGGTAGCACCTTCATAGCCGACAGCTGTCAATAAAACACATACGTTACTGTTGAGATACTTATGGCTTGTGGCTTAACCATTAAATAATATCCGAGTGCCTAGTTCCTATCAGACCATGCATCATATCAGTGGCATCGATCGGCATCATTGAGTGCAGGGATCCTTGCCCCTTGGTAAAGGTAAGATTATTCGGCGCTTGGAACAACCTATTCGGGTCAAGTGTTCTCTCACTAACGAAATATCACTTACCAAGATGTCCACGCAGAGGAACAGTCTAACATGACATAGAAATGAAACTTGTTCATTCCGTCCCAGCATATTGTTGCACTCGGAACCTCCAAACTAGGTTAAAACCCTCATCTTAGAGTGACAGTTGATCATTCAGATTCGAATCATTTCATCGCAAACATACAGAGATAGTGCCAGACATGTAGTCGCAGCTAAGATGAACAGTTGTAATATAGAAGTATTTTCTATTACAATAGCGCTGACAGTCGGAAAAGTATAGAGCTTCAAGTATGCACGACGTCATACAGGTTATGTTATGCACAGCAAATCACTTCAGAGATTGCGATATAACAACTTCATTTTCAAACATACCACATTCAAAAGGCTGCTAGTTCAATGTCACGGAATGAGGCTGCCTCATCTAGGTCAAATATGAAATCTCTCTCCCAGGCCTCATGTATTATATTTTGTGCGGCCTGAATTTGCCGGGGTTGGTAGCAGCTGAGTATCATATCAAATATTTTGTCCAGCATCACCTTCCATCCTGGATTTTTTTCTCAGAGGCCCGAGATTGCATCGAGCAACAAGATATGGCCAAAATGCAGAGTTTCCATAAACCACACCTTTTGAAGACGGATGCTCAAGTTCTAGTCTGAGAGAATCAAGACTAGCTATGAGCGCCACAAGATGTACTTTGTGGAAGGTAATCCCATCACTGATATCTCTGGAACACCATCTCTGTCAATATCTTCACTCTTAGCCACAACATGCTCTCTATAAAGGATTCCAGCATATCTCCAAGCATCCCATAGTTGTGCTTGTAGACTATCTCCCATCTCTCCATGCCAGTTCCAAAGCTCGAGTTGAGCTGGGTCATGTTCAGTATAGGCCAATATATCAAGCAGTGAGCGAGGTAAGCCTGTTAGTGTCTCAACACCACTCATCAAGCCTTGACATGTTTCCAGCTCAGCTTCTCTCAAGCGTTCCCAGAAGCCTATTTTAGGGGTTTTCCTGCCAAAAACAATGCCTGGAAGATTCATAACGCCAATAACTTCCAGACAGTGATTCGTAAATGTGTTAGGGATAGGAGCAGACGAGCCGAGGTTCGCATATACGCAGTAAAGCTCTACCACGCACTGTAGTTGGTTTGTCCATGGCAGTTTCTGCATGATCCTGGAAAGATTAGGTATAAAACTATTGGATGCTCAATAACGAATCCTACCGAGAGAGTACAGAGGATTAATCCAGCACACAAAGTCCCGCCATTGATGATACCGTTACGTTCCTGAAGCTCATCTTGGAAGATTCGCGGAGCGTCCCGAAACTTGGAATGAGTCTCATCTGTTTCAGGCTGTTCGTAAACGAATTGATATGTACGACAAATTGAGACTAAGGAGAGTGATTTTTTCGATGCTTGGCGCAAGTTGTTTTTGAAACTATCGTTCATTGAGGTTGCGAGTAGAGAGTAGATATTACTCTCGAAGACTGTTACTTCTTAGAATGAATTTGCCTTAAGGTAATGTTATGTGAGACACAGGTAACCACAGTGTCTATTGTTGACAGACATGGGATGGATGGGGCGATCTAAGAGGATACACTGGGTGCAAGACAACTACTCACATACATTTGGTGAGAAGGTAATCATCATATTTATGCTCATGCCCATTTACGAAAGAATTTTGACATGTTCGCTCGTGTCTGAAACTTGGTTTAATATCAGATTGTGTCCCAATTACGCCAAGCGCTGCGGAGGAAATTCCAATAAAGTCCTGCTGCCCTTGTCGTTTTGGATGCTCCGAGAAGCGGAGAACAGAATACTCCAAATATGCATTCCCGTCAGAAGTGGTCAGCTAACGTCCCGGGTTATGGCTGGTATCCAATATCGGCAGAGCTGAACCTGCTAATCGACCGCGAGAGGCGACTCCGCAATCCCATTTCAGCTTTAGTTCATAGTCATTACAGGGTATACGTCGGCTACGATAGACGAGGCAGTCTGGTCGATTTTGGTCGCATTTCCGTGTTCTTTTCTTACAATTTCCACATGCGCCACGCGATCTTGTCCTACCAACAAGACTGAGTGATGAATAAGATTTGTAAAGTAGATGGGCGGATGCACTTCCCTATTTAAGATTAACATGGTGTATACAGAGCCTACTCAGTCATGTGCCTAGTCTTAATGCGAGGTAAGCTAACTTCAATTAGGCTAGAGTGGAGTTCCTTATTTCAGATCACTATTACTGATGAAGTGGTCCGTATCAACCTTCCTAAAGAGATTATTCTAGATGTAGAAGTCATTGCTCACAGCAGGTAGACCTGGCTGAGGAAGAATTACCTATAACTTTCGAGGGCATTACCGTCGCATACAACGACCAACGTGCGCGCATTTTCTTCTCAACTGCTCTTCCCACAGATAAACTACTCTTGGTTTGTAAGTACTCGCCAACTTTGTAATGCCACCTCTAGTACCATCCCAGACTATCGAACATGTTGTTCCTTCTTTTGGAAAAATCAAAGGTCTTGAATTTCCTGGAGGCATTCGGCAATTCTGCTCCATTCCTTATTCTGACATCTCGAAACACTGGACACGGTCTACGTTTGAAACAAGTTTATCAAGAATGATTCATGAAGGAACTCAACATGGATAAGTAACGTGACGTTCAACACACTTGCTTGGCTAACTCTTACAATGTTATTCAGCTCAATCTGCCCTCAATCCCCAGAATATCCAGATCTCATCGGTGGCCTGGTCCTAGTGAAGCCTTTCCCACATTTTCAAATGCCAGAGTTGGATAAATTAAATTGTCTAAATCTAAATATTGTAATGCCACCGGAGTACTGGTCAGGACCTCATCATGTCATGGTCTGGATCCATGGCGGTGCATCAACCCATCCAGCCTATGACATGACTAAGTTCGTTTCACACGCCGTTAATTCTGGAACTCAGGTCGTAGGAGTAAGTGTTAGCTATCGAGTGGAATTATTTGGCTTCTTGGCCTCCCAGGCGATAGAGGATGATCTTGCTCCAGATGGATATCGGGGTGCTGGGAATTTTGGTCTTACTGATCAGCAGACAGCCCTTGAGTGGGTTCAGCAGTACATTTCGGACTTCAACAGTGATCCTACTAAAGTCACTATCTTTGGAGAATCGGCTGGGGGTATGTCAGTTGCTCATCAGATATGGGCTGCACAGCCAACTGTCTTTCACCGTGCTGTCAGCCTGTCCGGAAACCTGAACACTATTCCAACGTGGTCTTTGAGCGACACGAGGGCCGATGGAAAGCACTACTTCAACACTTGAGTATTGATCTGTCAGCAGCTAATGCCCTCGATCAGCTCAGGTCAGTAGCCCAAAAAGCACTGGCCAATGCTACATGCTTGATTGAGGGTACCATGGGAACTACTGGAAACCCGTGCGATGACGGATGGTTTCATAGTAAAATTCCGTCTATATCCTCCATATCATCGCCGCCAGCTTGGTTATAGTCGTATATGGTTGGCAATGTCTTGGATGAAGCCAACATTTTTCGTCAAATAATAGTCAACGAGACATATGAGACGTTGAAAGCTGCTCTGCTAGAGTTCATTCAAGAGCCGGAGCTGGATGCTGTCCTTGATATGTACGGCATTAGACCTGATATTTCCGCAGAGAATTTACGAGCCAAATTTGAAGACTTGGCGACAGATGCTTGTTTTACATTACAAAATCGCATTCATGCCTCAGTCTCAAAGATTCCGAAAACATATGCATTCCATATAGATCAACTAGCGAGGTTTGAATTTCCCTTCGACGGTCTTGCGTACCACGCAATTGATGTCGCATATTTTTCTATGAATCTCACTGAAAGGCTCACCCTTCCACAACAGAAGCTTGCAGAAAAGATAGCAGGAGATTTGTTCAACTTTGCATGGGATAGAGAACCTTGGAAACCGTATGGTCAAGACAAGCACTGGATGGTTTACGGCCCCGATAGCAAGTGGGCTGTCAAGATAGAGATTGAAGTTGAATTGATCGGTAACTACAAGAGGATGGATAGAATTCTGCACATGGGAGGTGGTTTTCTTAATCGTCGGCTTGAGGCTGTAGATTATTTTGCAAATCAGCGTTGGTTACAAAATCCTACTTAGAGCTGCAGAATAGATGCACGCTAGACCTGTCCATTTAGGCATGGTTGGTACAATCCGGGCACCTGTAAGAAAAAGTGTCCCGTTACACCGTGCGTCCTGGCACGTAGGGATGGACGTTAACCTTGAACGAGTTCTATCTTTAATAATCGGCTGTCATGTTCAGGGCGCGAGAGGCCTTATATTGTGTACGGGTGAGTTAACTGTAAAAGACCATATACGACACAGTACTCGTACGGGCCGGGCCGTTCATAATAACAGGACCGAACACTACAGGCACAAACCCACCCATCCAGCGGCAACAAACCACGCAGCACGCACGTGCACATAACATAAAACTATATTGATATGCCTGTTAACAAGCATAGGCTTGACCTACCCTGCTGCCGTTCTTGATCTTGGGGTTTCACCGTCGTGATATTCGGGCCTGTCATAGTCATCCTTTTGGGCCTCTTACGGGTTGTTTATGCACGAGCGCATGCACAAAACATCCCATGCGGTCGATTCGAGGATTAAACTGGGATCTTTAGGATTGTGCAAGACTATGAATGGCTTATATAGCCAAGCGGCTGTTTGTAACAGTAGCACTAGTCAGGCGTCGCGCCTTTACTCAACGTGAGTTTTCGGTATGCATGCATCCGGTCACCCAATGCTGTTCGCTTCGACTTGCTGGTAGGAACTATGCGATAAACCTCCGACCGAATCATGTTGCACCTTAGGTACGCCTTTGCTTTGCCCCACACAGAAGAGTGTTGTGTATACGGAGTGCTCTTCGTTCCTACCCGCAAATTATGATTTGTGGATTATTTATTCTTAACTAGTATGTCTCGGAACATCGAAACTGTGACCGGGCTGCAATCTCCGATGTCCACGCAAGATTTGCGGGGTTCGTATCGTAACTATACCTGAAACGCTGCCACTCGCGACTGCCTCCGGAGCGTGGCCCCCGCCGGGAAAACAATCACATATTTGTATTCCACGTCTACCACAAGAATAACCTTGAGGGTCATCAAACTGCTTCATCTAAAAACATAATTCGCATCTCTTGGAAGCGGCTATCAGCATACAAACCGTCAAGTGACTCAAGGGGAACCCTGCGAGCGGAAGAAACGATGCACTGCTTAATCTGGAGAATTTGCAGATATGACTAGTGCGCTGATCTCATATTACGACGGAGGAACTGCCTGGAGTAGTAGGTAATCAAATTCCGCCCTATATGTAAGACAACAAGGTGTGCGTATGTTGCATTCGATCCTTTATAGTCAATCCCCTTTTGATTTGACGTGCCAATTCGATTTACAATACAATCGCCACTCTATTTACCGTCAAGTCATGGTAGCTTCAAACACTAGGACCTTATTTGGGGGCTTTGCTGCCTTGCTTCCCACTGTGCTGTATTTTGGAACATTACTCAACGGGGTTGGGGTAGTGAGAGCAGACAATCCTATCGTCCAAACGATCTACACTACGGACCCAGCACCTCTTGTCTACAATGACCGTGTCTATGTCGTTACCGGCCATGACGAAGACGGATCTACAACATTCAACATGAAGGACTGGCACCTCTATTCGACGACGGACATGGCAAATTGGCAGGATCACGGGTCGCCAATGAGTTTGAAAACGTTCAGCTGGACTAATGCAAACGCATGGGCTGGGCAGATTATCCAACGCAACGGGAAGTTTTACTTCTACGCTCCAATGCGGCGCACCACTGGAAGCATGGCTATTGGCGTAGGCGTTGCCGACAACATCACCGGACCATACCGTGACGCGATCGGCAAGCCATTGGTTGATAATAACGAGATTGATCCGACTGTCTTCATAGACGACAATGGCCAGGCGTACTTGTACTGGGGAAATCCAGGTCTCTCCTATGTAAAACTAAACCAAGACATGATATCCTACAGCGGAAGTGTCAACAAGGTTCAGCTCACGACTGCTGGGTTTGGCCCTCGGAGTAAGGGCACAAGGGCTACTGCGTATGAGGAAGGACCATGGTTCTATAAGCGCGGCGGACTTTACTACATGATTTACGCAGCCAACTGCTGCTCCGAGGATATTCGTTACTCCACCAGCACTAGTCCCACTGGCCCCTGGACCTATCGCGGACTAGTCATGGCAACAGCGGGTGCGAGCTTCACGAACCATGCTGGTGTTGTCGATTTCAAAGGTAGTTCATACTTTTTCTACCACAATGGTGCCCTTCCTGGGGGAAGCGGTTACACACGATCGGTATGCGTAGAACGCTTCGCATACAATGCCGACGGTACTATCCCTACTCTTACAATGACAAAGAACGGCCCGCCCCAAATCGGTACCGTGAACCCCTACGTGCAACAGGAGGCTGAAATGATCGCCTGGGAGTCGGGCATAGAAACTGAAGTTTGTAGCGAAGGCGGAATTGATGTTACTTCGATCAATAACGGAGATTACATTAAAGTTAAGGGCGTCTCATTTGGCACCGGAGCCAAGTCCTTCAGTGCAAGAGTCGCGTCGGCGGCCAGTGGTGGCAAGATTGAGCTGCGTCTGGGCAGTACGACTGGTACTCTTGTCGGCACATGTACTGTTTCTGGAACGGGCGGTTGGCAGACCTGGGCTACAGTCACCTGCCCTGTTAGCGGCGCTACGGGCACTCAAGATTTGTACTTACGGTTCACTGGGAGCGGCAGCGGCAGCCTTTTCAACTTCAATTGGTGGAAATTTGCACAGTAGCCAATTAGTAGTAGTATTCGTAAAATTAATAAATATTATCATGCACATGAGTACCGTTTACTAGGTTAATCTAGCAGTAGATTTATTATATCTACAAGCACTATGTAATAGATAAAGTATAATAGGCTGCGCGGGTAAGTAAAACACGGAATTGTATCACGTGTTCTCTTTACACAACGCTTAGTTATATAACCTTTGTTATGGGTTAGCCCTAAACAGGAAACTGTGAGGAACCAAAAGTTATTGTATTGCTTAAGCTATTGAAAAGGGTCTTGGGTATGGCCACTATTTATAATGTCCTGCCCTAGCCCTGCTTACTTCTAGCCTAAAGGGTAGGCATAGCCTACCCCATAACAACCTTATTCGTATAAAGAAACCTATAGTTATATATTAGATTACTAGCTTCGATAGGAAAAGTGCTCAAAATTTAGCTCGTGCGATGCCAAGCCTTACTTTGGAAGTGTTTAAATCTACTCTTAAAAGTATCTTATTTCCACCTAACGTGTTTTACAAGCGAGCGGCGCGTACAAGCGAGCGGCGCACCCCACTAACTTTGCACACCTCTCTACGTATACAGCTCTACCATAACTGAATAAAATTTATGTATATTAAGGTAGTAGATTAAATACTATCTAAAGTATCTTTCTTACATGTACGCGAATTATAGCTAGTCTCTCTACACCTACTACACCGCGCTAGAGCCTGGCGGCTAACACCTAATCGCTCTCCTCCTTAACGCTCTTCATAAGTAATCTGTTGATCAGCCTCGCGCTGAGCGAGTAGATCTTCTCTAGCTCCCTTTATTAATACTCCTTGCTTCTATATCCGCTTCTTCTTACGCTGCCTACGCTTTGTTGCGGCTTCGTTCGCCTTCTTAAGACTAGCTATCCGATCGCGCATTAGCTCAGCCGAGAGCATCATTACCTCAGCCCCCTTCTTAAGCTAGTTAATTACTGCAATAATTAAAGCTAGTGATAAGCCTTAATGCCGCTAAACGCGATCACGTATTAACGTTGATTAAGCTTTAAGCTCGCGTGTGTTGCTAGGCGTACGAGCCTGCTAGAGAGCCTCTAGAACAGCTGGTGGAGTAGGCGTACGGAGCTTTATATCAAGCCTTGATAGAATAGCATCTAGCTAGAGAGAAACAAGGCCTGCGCCGCGGAAGGCAGAGCAGATATTAGCTGGCGTGAAGGATCGATCGAACGCTACCTTGAACGCTAGTAGAAACTCAAGCTTAGTATTATTATTATTATTATTATTTTGGTTTTACGTCCTGTCTCAGCCGGTAGGCTATATAAGACGTGCAGGCTAGGCCCGCAAGTATCTACGTAGTGCTATCACTTTGGTGTAGGTGGGGGAGGGGGCTATCTAAATCGAGGTGAGGCTCGTAGCCTAGTCTAGAGGGAGGTAGAAGGGGGTCTTGCGGGTAAAAGAGAGAGGTAGGGTGGGTGTAGGGCGAGGCCACCTAGTATAGGTGTTGCCCTAGTTCTCGAGGTTTCCTTTGTGCCAGGCCTGTGTTGCAGCCCTAGTTTCTTCAATAAAGGCAATAGTAGCCTGTATGCCTACGCTCGTGTTTAGCAGGAAGGCTAGCGATAGGGGGTCCTTGCTCGCCTCCTGCATCTTTATCCTAGCCTCCTTAT